TCTGGCAAATTGGTTTTCTTATGTAGAATTATCTCATTCAGTTAAACCAGTTTTAGGCACTGGCAGTATTATTAGTTTACTCATGTGACCTCACTCAATGTTATTTAATGCTTCTTCATTGAGTGCCTGCCTGTCTTGGAAGAGCTGGACAGCGAACCAACCCTAGCAGAAATAAATGCGGCCTTGGATTCCCTCACCTCTGGCAAGGCACCTGGAAGGGACAACATCCCTGTTGAAGTGCTGAAATGCGGTAAGGAGATCATCATCACCGAACTGTATGAAATCTTTTGCCTCTGCTGGAGGGAAGGTGGAGTACCACAAGACATGAAGGATGCAAACATTGTCACGTTGTACAAGAACAAAGGTGACAGGGGTGACTGCAATAACTACCGTGGTATCTCTCTTCTTAGCGTTGTAGGGAAGCTGCTTGCCCGTGTTGTGCTGAAGAGGCTCCAGGTGCTTGCAGACAGAGTCTATCCGGAATCACAGTGTGGATTTCGAGCAAATAGATCCACCACTGACATGGTATTCTCCCTCCGACAGTTGCAGGAGAAATGCAGGGAACAACAACAGCCACTCTTAGTGGCCTTCATAGACCTTACAAAAGCATTTGACTTGGTTAGCAGGGATGGCCTTTTCAAAATACTCCCCAAGATTGGATGTCCACCTCGTCTCCTTAACATCATCAGGTCCTTCCACGATGGAATGAAAGGCACTGTAGTTTTTGACGGCTCAACATCAGAACCCTTTGACATCCGAAGTGGAGTGAAACAGGGCTGTGTCCTCGCACCAACACTTTTTGGGATCTTTTTTGCTGTCATGCTGAAGCATGCCTTTGGAACTGCAACAGAAGGTGTCTATCTCCGGACTAGATCAGATGGAAAGCTCTTTAATCTCTCTAGATTGAGAGCAAAGACCAAAGTCCAGCTGAAATGCATGAGGGACTTCCTCTTTGCAGACGATGCAGCCATTGTTGCCCACTCTGCTGAAGACCTCCAACAACTCATGAACCGTTTCAGCAAGGCCTGCCAAGACTTTGGACTAACAATCAGCCTGAAGAAAACACAAGTCATGGGCCAGGGTGTGGACTCACCTCCCTCTATTACCATCTCCACACAAGAATTGGAGGTTGTTCATGACTTTGTGTACCTTGGCTCAACCATCTCTGACACCCTCTCTCTAGATGTCGAGCTGGATAAACGCATTGGGAAAGCAGCCACCATGTTCTCTAGACTCACAAAGAGAGTATGGCTCAATAAGAAACTGACAACACATACCAAGATCCAGGTCTATAGAGCCTGTGTCCTGAGCACACTCCTGTACTGCAGCGAGTCCTGGACACTTTGTGCCCGGCAGGAGAGGAAGCTGAACACCTTCCATATGCGTTGCCTACGACGGATTTTTGGTATCACCTGGCAGGACAGAGTTCCAAATAGAGTAGTCCTAGAACGAGCTGGAATTTTCAGCATGCATACATTACTGAAACAGCGACGTCTACGCTGGCTTGGGCACGTTGTGAGAATGGCTGATGGTCGGATTCCAAAGGATCTCCTATATGGAGAATTAGTGCGACGGATTTTTGGTATCTCCTGGCAGGAGAGGGTTCCAAATAGAGTAGTCCTAGAACGAGCTGGAATTTTCAGCATGCATACATTACTGAAACAGCGACGTCTACGCTGGCTTTGGCACGTTGTGAGAATGGCTGATGGTCGGATTCCAAAGGATCTCCTATATGGAGAATTAGTGCAGGGAAATCGCCCCAGAGGGAGACCACAGCTGCGATACAAGGACATCTGCAAGCGGGATCTGAAGGCCTTAGGAATAGACCTCAACAGATGGGAAACTCTGACATCTGATCGTTCAGCCTGGAGGCAGGCAGTACATCACGGCCTCTCCCAATTTGAAGAGACCCTTGTCCAGCAGGCTTGTGCAAATTCATAATATGATGCTTTATAGTCAAAGTTGGTTCATTGCATCATTTTTTGGTTTGTTGCATAGGAAGCATTTGTGCCTACCTTTTTTTTAAGTCTGGCAAATTGGTTTTCTTATGTAGAATTATCTCATTCAGTTAAACCAGTTTTAGGCACTGGCAGTATTATTAGTTTACTCATGTGACCTTCCGAGGGCTCAGAACATCATGTGATTGCCCTCTTCAATCTCATGATAACTTGGACGACTTGTGTGGAGAGTATGAATTCTTGGGCAAAGGCCGTCAGGTAATTTCCATGACTTGTGGCTAAATTAAGCACTTGCGATAAATTAATAAGAAACTTCCCAATTTCTCTGCTTTGAGGAGAGACGTGGTGGTGAAAAGAACAACAACACCGGAAGATTGTGTAAGTTCCTAAGCCAATGAGATCAAATGTTGAGCAGCGGGGGGGGGGATATTACCCTAGTTAAAAGTTCAAGCCAATTTGCAGACACATTTATTTCAGATTGCTTGTGACCTACATCAAATTTCTCCATGTTTATGGTATATCAGTTTTCTCCAGTCACTGAAACTATGTTTTTATGTCCTGCCCAAATAAGGGCCTTCCTGTCTCCAACATGTGCTGTTGCTCCTTTGTCTGCTTTAAGAGTATTACTAGTAAATCTGTAAAGCCTGAACAGCAGTTATATTGTCCAGACAGATGTGAGAGGAACAAGCATAGATGATAACAGCCATTGTTTCTTTTCTTACCTTATTTAACGACAATGCATAACGATAAAGAACCTTAAACCACTTAGTAGAAGGTCACTGTGTAAGCTGGCTAGTCTCCATCCTTTTAAGAATACACCGGATATACTTGTGGCTTCCCAGTGTTTTCCCGAAAGCTCAAATAGAGCTCACTCTAAGAGATTAACTTCAGTTTTGAGATGCTAGAATCATATTGGGCCAATGTTCTAGGTTTTGCCCTAGGATATAAATTGCAAGCGTAATGATTCTGCAATGCAGAACCTAGGATTTTGGTATTTGTTCTCCTCCTCCACTTGGCAAATGAATCCACACCCAAAAAGAAATAGGTTCCATGCTTCTTTTTGGATATGATTTAAATCCAGTATCCTTTACTCTTTGTTGACAAGAATGCTCTTTTTGTTTTATTTGTTTACAAACTCTGGGAAGTGTTAGGTTACATTTGCCGTATATTCAACATATTTGATTTCAGGGAAATACAATCTATGGCAGTTTGATTTCCATACCTAGGTGTCTGTTCGTGAACACTTTAAAGAATATTAAATAAGCCCTTCCAATAATTCCAGTCATTTGCGTAACCTCTTTTGGGTAAATATGATGAGTAAAAGTCCATTTCTGTAGCTGGGACTCATTTTTTGCAAAGTTCAAAGACTTGAATAAGCTGACACTACTTCTTCGTTCACATCAGAAGCAGTCCAGTGGTGCTTCTGGAGTGGAAGGATGCTGCCGGTTGACAAGGGAAGCCTGAGTATGTTCACTGTCTCCCTGTTTAGTAAGGGCCCTTCCACAATTCCCAGTGAAGCTGCTATCTTGCTTCCATGGCTTCCAATGACGTTTAGCCTTTTCCAGCTGGAAAACAAAGGTTACCTGAATTTTGAGTTCAGAGAGAGAGAGAGAGAGTGTTCCTATTTTGCAAATGTTATATTTAGTACTGGTTCTAATGCTAGTGTTTGCCTGTATGCACATTTGTATGCCTTTAAAAGGTTAGTTTATAAATTCCAGAGTGATTAACAGTGTTACCTCCAAGATCCTTGGGTTTACTATGCTGCTTGAAAGATTAAGGAATTTATTACATTGTAAGCTGTTGTGGTGCATGCATGCATCTTACCGCTATTGTAAATTCATTAGTCTTTCTAGTGCTTTAGAACTAACTGCTTTTCATGTAGAGTTAGCCAGAATGCCAGGGAAGTAAGTGCCTAGTTCTTCTTGCCAGTTTGTGCTTTAGATCACATTCTTTGGATTGTTTTGAGAATGCCCAAGTGCTCTGCTGCTCCTGGAATAGGAGTGAGTGCATTCTTTTCAGAGTTTTCATTTGAAAAATAAGTAGTTTGTTTTGGATATTAAGAGAACTACTTCATGGCATAGTAAGGTGGACGTTCCTGGCTTCTCATACGCTGTGAGTTCCATTGAAGAGTCGCATGGCACTGGATTTCCCTTTGGTTTTCGTATGCATTCATGTACGCATACACAAATCTTTGACCTTCATTGTGCTTGTTTTGGTGCCAGCTTTGCAGAATGCAATTAAAAATTCATTAAGCAGAAGCTGGCTGGAGGTTCTGTGGATCTTCTGAGGCTGTGACTGTTATCAGTTGTGATTGACAAGTACAATTAAATACTAATACCTTTCTAACACTGTTAAATAGATGGCAGGATGCAGCTGCTTTCCAGGAAGAAAACAGGCTAAATCCAATCCAAGCGAAGTCTCTTTAATTGTCTGTAGTGTTGAATGAATAACCATTTTTTTAAAAAGAGGGGTTAGTGTTATACTGTTTGTAAAAAGCTATAACCCAGCATTGGCATTTCATCTTAAGCTGCAGTCAGTCTAATTTGAAAAGCTAATAAAATACACTGCATTCATGGCCAATTTTCCATAGCTTTTATGGCTGTTTCAGTTTTTTTTTATTTTTTTTTAAAAAAATTAAATCTATCCAATCTAACAAATGCTGAGCTCTTTTAGCCAGTAGAGATAGTTGCTGTCACATTACTAAGTCAGGTGGAAGACAAACTGCAGCGTGAAAGCCTTAAAGAGTTTCTTCATTAAATAGAGCACATGATCTTTTATTGAGAAAGATATACAGTGGTGTAAATCACAGAAGCAAATTATTGCTACTTAACGAGTTGTTACTTGTGTCCCTCTTAGCACACCGGCTTCTCCTTTGACTGGAAGGTGGCAGGGAATAAAAAGGGATTTGTTAATTAACAGCAATTCATTAATTCGGTTTATGTCATTGGACTTACTAACCAATCTAGGGATGGCAGTGGGTGGGTATAAATGAGCAAAATCAATAGATTCTGATGTGACACCGTTTCCTCTGTATCATTTCAGTGCCTGGAGATTTGGGTAACCAGCTGGAAGCAAAGTTGGACAAACCGTCTGTGGTGCACTATCTTTGCTCCAAGAAGACAGACAGCTACTTCACTTTGTGGCTGAACTTAGAACTGCTGCTTCCGGTGATCATTGACTGCTGGATAGATAATATCAGGTCAGGCTGCAACCGCGTTCAGATGACTTGTTCCCGGTTGAAAACTTTACATTTTAACTCCTTATATCTTTCCTTGTGTAGCAACAGGCATTGAAATCATGGTAACAAATATATGCTTAACAATTGGTGGATTCCAGCGGGCAGATCTGAGTTCAAATCATGGCTCAGTTGTTGACTCATTTTTTAGTCTGGACGACTGCCGTGAATGACACTGTGAGTTTGTTGCTTGTTAGCAACAGGCACACATGGCAAAAAGTTTCATTTGGCACATACTTTTTATGGCTGATTGATTTTTTTTTTAAATTAAATCTATCTGATCTAACAAATGGGCGTCATGTGCAAATTGCTCGGATTCACAGTATTTTCTACATCAGAATTGGTTCACTCTGACATCTGGTCTTGCATGAATCACACTTTACTTAGTGGCTACTGCTTCAAATGTCAAATGGGAATTGATCTGCATTACAGAAGACAGATAAGATAAAGGCTGCATAATATGCATAATTGATAAATAATTATTTTAGAATAGAGTTTCAGAGAAAATCGATCAGACGATGATTCAATGCACATACTTTATTCCAGTGTCCCTCAGAGTATACCACTGCTTGAAATCCTCCTGGCTTGTCTTCCAAAGTTTGTGAGCAGAAATCACAGTTCAGTATTGTATCTGAATCGATCAGGTGTAAGAGAAAGTACTAGTTTGAAATTGAGGGGCACATGTCCATGAAATAGGTTCTGATCAAGAAAGATATCTGTCTGCCTTGGAGAATAAATTGCTCACAAATAACATGAATGAATCGTTTACACTGACTATTGTCAAGTGGCTTTGAGGACTCCACGGGTTACTCAACCTACATTGTGCCCTTTAAGAGCTTAATTGCTGTCTTCCTTGCCTGTTGGAATCTTGGCTGTGCACGAATGAAAAGAGTTGTCATGTAGACATGGAAGTCTTCAAAAGAGCAAACACTACAAAATGATATGCGGGAGGTGACCGTGTAACCCCTTTCTTCTTGAAAAGCAAAAAGGCAGGCCAGTAGCACTTGTGCAAACAGGTCATTGGCTCACATGTCCTCTCTTATCTACCAGAATGCTTAAAGCCGAGTCATGATGATCTCCGTTACCTACCACAGAAATATGTTATGTCAGTGAATCAGAACTGATGAAATGCTGACAGCTTAAGGCAAACCACTGTTCCTTTTCCTTTCTGTTGCAAAGAGTGGAGGCAGAATTTTAGTGGTCAAGGAAACTTGCCTGGCAGCTATAATGAGACAAATGGTTGCTTCTCAATAAGCTTCTATAATTACTAGGTTTGGCGTTTTCAAACAGGGCTTTGTAACTAAGTGGATGTGCCTTTTAGGCTATCTTACCCTGCTACCTATAATGGGAGCTTCGTTGGATAGCCTAATTCAAGTTATCTTTCAGCATCGAAACTTTTTGTTATAGCTTGAAGCAAACGGCTTCTGATATTGAAGATCCATGCTGTCTCTTCGTTTTTATTTAATTGGACTGTGAAAACAGAAATTGGAGAAGTTTTCAAATTCTTATTTATTGTCCGTCCTTTAAACACCGGATAATTATAGATATATTATATCGGTGAATGTTACTTACATTGACATGTCTGTTGATGTTGCTTTTTCTGCCTAGGCTGGTTTACAATCGAACTAGTGGAACGACCGGGCCCCCCATTGGGGTTGATATCAGGGTCCCTGGATTTGGGCATACGTTTCCTTTGGAGTTTCTTGACCCTAGTAAAAGAAGTGTTGGTATGTGTTTCTAATCCCCTATGCAAGCACATCAGGCAAAATCCAAAGAAACGAAATGAGACCATCAGACAAAAGGATGTGGCACCTTAAAGACAAACGATTACATTTGAATGTGAGCTGCTCATGTTAAAATATAATAGTTTTAAAGGTGCCACATGTTTTTGTCTTGTTCTGTTTCTTTGGATTTTGCATATATTAATACTTTTTGTGTTGTTTTTTGTAAGCATCTTACTTAGATTCTATTGGGATTTACAGAGAAAATCAAGAACTGGGGAGCTTCTGAAAGGTCTGTGACGGAGAGAAGCCACTCTTGTCTGATTATGTAACACAGCTTGGAATGTTACATTTTAAAAGAAACTTGTGTTACCCGTTGCTTCTCAGTAGCTAGGCTGCCATTGTCCTTACCAGTGCTTAAAATAAGTATTCTCCAAATATTCTTTGTAATTCAGTATTGAGTCTGTTCTGTGCTATTAATGCTTTGTCTTGTGCCAATAAGCACTGAAGAGGGATTCATTGGCTGGAATCCTATTCCTAGCGTAAGCCGAATTGTAGCTTTCAGACACGTGGGTGCCCCCCAGAATCACAGGAGGGGCACTTCACTTACCAGGGAAGACAGACAGAAAGTCACAGTTTGACTTACCCATTGGCTGAAAAGGTGTCCATAGGGTTAATTAATGCATAAACTTATTCACAGTAGAACTGTTTTGATAATAATCCTTTTAAGTATTAGACTGCGGACTTAAAGAGTTACATAGGAGAATTCTAATCCTTTGTGACTTTGAGTTAATGTTGACTGGGGAAATCTGACAGTGCAGACTGGCCCGCCCACTTCACGCATCTCGGTGCCACGAGCGTCCCACTCGTCCCACCAATTACAGAAGTCACTCCACCGTCTCCTGGCTCGGCTAGCCACTCAGCAGCCATGCGAGGAGACCCGTCCTCCCTCCCCCCCGCCTGGAGTGGCCAGCCAAGCTGGGAGATGGAGGAGCTACTTTTTGCAGTTGGCAGGAAGATGGGACGCTGGCCATATGGGGACGCAGGAGTGGACAGGCCAGTTCTAGGGGCAGGACCTGTATCAAGCACAGCTGGGACAGGGATATTTGTATTCGTTTATGAATATCCCCATCTCTACTTGCAACACCGTGATATAAGCACCTGTACTTCCGTCCCAGTCTATTAGAGTGGAGTCACAAAGGCCCTGAATGTGTGAGATCAGTCTGTGCAAAGGGAGTGTTCTCATATCATTGTTGTTCAGTTTCTCTTTTCATCCTCAGGTACCTACTTCTACACACTGGTTCAGAGTCTGGTAGATCTGGGCTATCAACGGGATGTGGACATTAGAGGCGCTCCTTACGATTGGCGGAAGGCACCAAGTAAGGAAAACTTGGTTATGGAGACCAGGATTCTGTGCCGGGATGAGAACTGATCATGTGGTTTGAAAAACTGCACTTAAATGGTGGCTTATGCAAACATTTAGGATCTGACTGTTATTCCATGCAGATTAACCCTTTTTCCCCTCAGCGTTCCCAAGCACCGAGGGGTATGTTTTGCAGCAGTCAGATGAGGAAGTTAAAACTGTGTTTCACTTTCAGTGATCAATCACCAAATATGAAATTGAGGCTAGCTCTGGGCTTGAAGGAGAACCTTCCCTACATAAGTGCTAAACGTTTCATCTAGTTGTTTCCATTCACCCTGGGGGAAAAAATATTTGGCAAGAAATAAGAGTCTACCAAAACTTTAAAAGTTTTCATCTGTTGATTTGATACTGAGACTTCAGAGGTTACCGTTTTCCTTGATACTGTTTTAAAGAGACAGTATCCCTGGTAAGACGCCAGGAAGCAGATTTTCCTGAAGGCAAGGCTATCGTTCCCCTCAGGCTAGGCCATGTTTTAAGATCCTTGTTAATGGCCAGAATATGCGTATCTTCTCATTGCACTTGATTTTGTGGCCAGAATCATGCTGCATTGGCCCTATAAATACACGTTCTGAGTTTTTGTGTGCTGCAACGCTGATTTGAAACTGGCCTTAGAAAATTCTCTTTTCATGTGCTGAGAGAATGGCCCTCTTATCTAGGCTGGGGCTTGGTCCCCATTCAAGGCAATGGCCCTTAAAGAGATGAGGATTTTTTCCCCCCTCCTCTATAATCCTCCTGACTCAAAAGATTTTAAAGCACGTAATTGCTGTCTCAGGGCAGGAAGGAGAACACAGAATACTTAAAGCTGCCTTATTCGAGTGCAGAGTGTTTGTCTGTTTAATAGAGTGTTGGTATGCGGTGGATGATCAGGTCTGTAACTGTGTCTCTGTCGTGGGCTTTTCGCTTCGCCTGCTGCTCGACCGGGAAGTGTCAGGGATTCAGCTTCTGCATGTAATGCTTGTGCTCTCAGCATTGAGTTCTGGTATTTACTCAAAGGGCAGGGCCTCTCCTTTGATGCTGTCTGTCTCCCCATCCCTCTTAAGGGGGAAAGCTCATAAGGACCCTCGAAGGTTAAATATCTTTCTTTGAAACAGGGTGTTTCTATCGGCAGATCACTTGCACTGTTTTTGTGGGTGGGCTCCTGTATTTGACAGGCTAGTCTGTTCTTCTTTTTTTTCTTTTGGTTTCTAAATACTTTGAATGTTTTGAATTCATATATACTGTATATAAAACTCTGCTTTGCTCCTTAAAGTAAAGGAGGTAGCTTTAAACTCCGAGGTAGCTTACAACATTGAAATATAATATAGTGTTTTATTTTCATCCACACTGCTAATGTATGTAAACTACCTGGAGAGACAAAGAGAGAGAGAGAGAACTTCTGCAATCGACCCCCTCTCTCTAAATGGAACGTGTTCCTGCTTTTGCACGGCTCTCTTCTCTTTTCTCAGTGAAGCGCTGGTTCCAGGACTCATGTTTTGAGAAAAAGGGGAAGATGGAACTAGTTTCACCTTTAGAAGGATTCTGTCTCTGCACAAAAGCTACCCAATATTTCTAGGAATATAACATTCTTTTTTAATTCAAATTTTATTAATTTTCAATTTTTTTAAAAAAAACTACAACAAATATACGAAACACTGCTTAACATATCAAGAAAGGCAACATTTTTGGAAGCCTGCACAGATGTTCCTGCTGGCTGTAACTCCTTTGCTGTGTTGCAGCTAGTTGTCACCTGATAGTTAAATAGTTACAGGAGTGTTTTGGGACAGGTCATGGTAACATTTATGCTTTGCAGAGCTCAGATGTTGCAACAAGCCAGTTTGCTCCCGCCGGCCCATGTTGCAATTCTGGAGTAACAGGTGTTGATAAAAAGAGTATTATTAAAATAAATTAAAATAACTCCATGTCAGTTGAAAGGCGGTGCTTCTCAGTGGGGTTCCTTCACCAAATTCCGCCGCCGGTCATTGAGTGTGAACGGAATCAAGTTAATGAACCCCATTCTGTGGCAAGTTGAGATAAATGTTCAAAGTAAAATAACACGGGGATTCTAAATGGCTTGTTCAGTGAACGGAATAAATTCTTTTTCTTGATTCTTGTAGACGAGAACGAAGAGTACTTTGTCGACCTCCGGAAGCTGATCGAGGTGATGTACGAAGAATACGGCGAGCCAGTGGTGTTAATTGCTCACAGCATGGGGAATATGTACACACTTTACTTCCTCAGACAGCAGTCCCAAGAATGGAAGGACAGATACATACGGGACTTCGTGTCGCTGGGCGCCCCGTGGGGCGGAGTGGCCAAAACCCTCCGAGTTCTAGCATCAGGTAGGTGGGTCTCGTGGACAGAAGGAGGGAGCGCATGAGCATTGTGTAACTTGAGTGTATTATCAGTGCCTAGAGTAGCTTAATCCCAAAAGGAGGAAGTTGTTTGTATTCTTGGTACTGTGCCTCTTGGAGGATTTCAAGGCGGGACAGAAGCTTTAGCAGATGCAAAATACAGGGGCCAGATTTCGGCCGTTCAAAGGTGTGGTCCCATCTCCCCGATTCTGGCACGTCTCATTGGCTCCCTGTAGGCTTCCGTGCCAAATTCAGAGGGCTGGTATTGACCTGTAAAGCCCTTAAGAGGCCCACAATTCCTTTTCTGGGCGACATAGTGGCTGATGTTCCCATTGTGAGTTAGGTGGTGGTAGCGCTTTTGCAGCTCTTAGTAGGTTTCCTTCTACATTCATATGTTCTCGTTATACGTTGTTTCTAAATCCAGTAGATACACATAAGAAATTTATTATTCTCCAACCAGCCCTTTGGGTGGTTTGTGATATAATTCTTCTCTGAAAGCCATTAGTTTCATTTCCACTTCTTACAAATCAAGTCAGTCATAGATGTGTTGCCTTTTCTGCATAGACCCCTAAGCCTACATAGCTCGGACCCTCTTCAAACTCTTTGTGTTTTTAATGTGTTGACAACTCATAATGATTAACACTTTTAACGCCTCAGGCGACAACAACCGAATCCCGGTCATCAGCTCCTTCAAGATCCGAGATCAGCAGCGCTCGGCCGTTTCAACCAACTGGTTGCTCCCTTACAACTATACGTGGTCCCCAGACAAGATTTTCGTCAGCACGTCGTCCGCCAACTATACTCTCCAGGATTACCGCAAGTTCTACGCCGACATTGGCTTTGAGGATGGCTGGCTCATGAGAAAAGAAACCGAGGCCTTGGTCTACGAGATGACGCCTCCGGGGGTGCGCATACACTGCCTTTATGGCTCCGGGGTGGAAACGCCGGACTCGTTCTTCTACGACGTCTTCCCGGACAAGGAGCCCAAGATTTTTTACAGCGATGGCGACGGGACCGTGAACTTGCAGAGTGCCTTGCAGTGCCAGAAGTGGGTGGGTTGGCAGAAACAGCCGGTGTTGCTCTACGAGCTGCCCCGAAGTGAACACATAGAAATGCTCTATGATCCCCTAACCATTTCCTACGTTAAAAAGGTCCTCTTTGGCTCATGACCTGTTGGAGAGCATCTTTTTTTTGGCTCCATAACTTTGGAAGGCGAGGGGAAGGAAAGAAGGTTGTCCTGGACCCCTCTTTTGAAAGCCTATTTATTTGGCTCGTTGGAAATCTGTTTCAATGTCAGTTCCTGATCATTTGTCTCTGAGTAGTGCTCCTAATGCACGGTAGGGTCTTACACCCAAAAGGCTTGTGCCGTCTTCATCTCCAGCGTCTAGTGGCCGTCGGTGTCATGAATGAGTTAACTTTTCTTTATTCTCTGAGGTGAGGGGAGAGGGAGCTTTCTCTTTCCAGATCTATTGAGCTGTAGGATTAAGGAGAGAACATCAGGGCGTCTGTTCTGAAAGGTCACACAAGCTGAACAGCTCCCGTTTGTAGAAGCTGACATTTACTGAAGTCTCAGCATCATCATCAGCTACGCACAGAGACAGCAGGCGGGCTGAAATCCTCTTGCACGCGGCATAACATGCAGTCACCTGTGGAGTCCACAGGGCGTTTCTGCCCAGACAGTCCGCATTGTGTGCCCGGCTGTCCAATAGGTTGCGCGACGGCATCTCTGGAACTGCTGGCTGGACGTGGCTTCCACTTCGGTATAAATTTTGCACCCGCTCGTGCAACTTCAAGTTGAACTGATGTAGCCACAGAGTAGGGTTAAATACTGGGACGCTGTGATTCAGCCAGACTTATTTGTTCCTCCGGAAGGTCTCTGAGTCTCTGATAAGTTTTTATAAGACTCCTTTGCATCTCTCCGTTTGGTTTTTTTTCTTTTTCTCAGTGAGATGGAGTTGAAATCTCTGAAGGCAGGAAAACGTTCACAGCCTTCCACTGGATTGTAGTTGTAAACCCCAGCGGCTGCCCTTGTGGTCTCTGAGTGGGTATCCTCAGAATCAGTTGTCTGCCTCCAGAATGCTTGACAGCCTCTTCTGTTGCTCAAAGACTCGACGCCAGTCATCTCTGGGTCTGTTCCTCCTGTGATTTGGAGAGACCTCCTAGCAGCCCCTTAGCTGTTAGACCCCAGCCAATCTGATTTTGTCCCAGCCAGAGTTAAATGAGGTTTTTAAAATTAAAGTTGTGGTTTTGCCTGCTGGTCAAAGTAGACACGGACAGTTCACCTTCATGTGGTGTTCGAGTCCACTTTCCTTCCTGCATAACCCCCTTCCAGTTTTTACTGACCTCCTTGTCCACTGTGGTGGAGATCAGGTCTTCTTCCTTATAGTGAAACAATGGGATAGAATACTGCTAGTGCTTATGATTCAGTAGTTACAGGAAGTGCCCTACAATCAGGCAGGTCCCTTCTTGAGCAAGGATGTTCCACGAGATGGAGTAGGCAGGAAGACTTCTTCCGCTTTCCCTTTAACTGTAGTTCTAAGCATCAGTGGGCGAGGTATGGGGCCACCCTCATCGTCTCTTGTCAGTCTGGGCCAAGCCTGGGACAGACAACTTGTGAGAGCCAGTGGGTTGCAGAGTTTGCACATCCTGCTACTGGCATACAGGGGCTGCCCCCTGTGTTCAGCAGAGCAGGAAAAAGATGTCCATCCATTATATTTTTATTTTACAGTGGTGCCTCACAAGACAAACACCTCACAGGATGAAAAACCCACAAGATGAATGTTTTTTTGTGATTGCTGTGGTGCCTCACAAGACAGCTTCTTCTGTGGCCGTGCTACAAATGTTTTTCATAAGACCGATGCCTCGCGAGATGAATGAATTATTTTTGTCTTGCGAGGTGTCGTGCTTCACAAGACAAATGTTTTTCGTAAGACCGATGCCTCGCAAGATGAATGAATAATTTTTGTCTTGCGAGGTTCCCGTAGGAATTGCAATGCATTCCTATGGGTAACTGCTTTTCACAAGACAACAATTTTGCAAGACAGCACTACTCGCAGAATGAATTACATTTGTCTTGCAATGCACCACCACTGTACTTTATTTAAAACGCGTTTACCTCTCCTTTCTCCTTGAAATGGACCCAAGGCAGTGAATGAATAATTTTTGTCTTGCGAGGTTCCCGTAGGAATTGCAATGCATTCCTATGGGTAACTGCTTTTCACAAGACAACAATTTTGCAAGACAGCACTACTCGCAGAATGAATTACATTTGTCTTGCAATGCACCACCACTGTACTTTATTTAAAACGCGTTTACCTCTCCTTTCTCCTTGAAATGGACCCAAGGCAGCTTATCTTAACTTTATTTAAAATACGTTTACCCCTCCTTTCTCCTTGAAATGGACCAAGGCAGCTTATCGCCATGAAAGGCAATATTTAAAGTTGAAAACCATGAGTAGACGACGGTGGTTAACATCATTGAAAGACGATATTTAAAATTATGAACAAGGAATGAGGAAACGGTGGTTAACATCATAATATTTAAAATTATGAACAAGGAATGAGGAGGCATCTTGCATCATTTAAAAACAGGCAATATTAAGGCAAAGATCAACAGAAATTGAAGTCACTGAGAAGTGGAAAAGACAAAATTGCCAAACACTGCTACTAAAACCCCAGTCAAGGTATTCATGCGTAACTGTCTAAAAATTGCACACAGGTAGCTGGGAAGGCTTGCCTGAAGATAAAGGTCTTCGGCTGCTTTCAGAAGGATAGCAGAAATGGGGGCTTCCTGTGGGAGGGAGTTCCAGAGTGAAGGTCTTCGGCTGCTTACAGAAGAATACCAGAAATGGCTTCCTGTGGGAGGGAGTTCCAGAGTCTCTGGGAGGAGTGACAGAGGAGGCCCTTTCCTGTGTCTCCCCACCCAGCGCACATGGGAGGGTGGTGGGACCGAGAGAAAGGCCTGTCCTGATGATCTTACACAGCAGGTAAACTGCCCTACCTTGCATTCAACATACTCTCAGGCAAAGGTTGAGACCTCCGACGGAACCTTGGAGAGAACAAAACCAGAGAGGTTGTTTCAATCAGCAACTCTATAGGAGTGCATGGAAACGGGAGTGCGTTGAGCTTGGTGCCAAAATGTTCCAGGTGAGACTCTGACTCTTGGTCAAAGTGACCCAGAAATCTGAACTTTATTCTGAGTAAATTCTGCTAACCATGGCCTTCCCTAGACAGAAGGGTGGGTGCTGGAACTTGGACGCTCTGTCCCTGATCTGTGGATGTCTTTCTGGCTAGACATATAAGACCCAGTCAGATCTGCCATGGTGGTGGCTCTTAATATGAAATTACTTTTCACCGTTATGAGTCTTTCTCTCTCAAGCTGTAAACATATCCAAAGCTTAACATGGTGCATTAATGCAGTAGCTTTAAGATAACAATGGCCCTTGAAAAGTGTGGTTTGAGTGGAAAGTATTTTTCCTTTTAGGACCTACAGTGTTCATTTTATTTCCTTTGGGGAGGGTGGCCTGCCATTAATAAACGTAAGGTCGATGGTAAACACAGGGGGTACATTATTAACAGAAGCCTCTGAAAGCATCCACCAGATTTCTTCCCAGATGTTTTTCAAGAACCAAAATGTTTTACGGACCAAATGTACTCAGCACATCTGGCACAAGAAAACGCTGGATGGGACTTCAGCCTTTTTAGGGGACTGGGTGTGAAAATATTGATGCTGCTGCAAGTTTTCAGAGTCACTGTGTGATCTCTGCTAGGAGGGGTAGATCTCACCACTGAGCAATAAGTGCAAAGGCGTTTGCAAGCCAAAGTAGAGAATTCCTGCCATGAAGATCGTTTGTGAAGTACATCGTGTTTAAGATGTTCAGATATTCAGGGACTGAGCAATTACTTTGCTTTTCTCTGCTTTAACAGTATTTTGTATAGAACACCGCCTGTCGAAGGCTTATTGGTTTTATAAGCACCTTTCTCTTTGTCTCTAAATACGTTGAGTAGGGTTTTTGCATATTTGATTGTCATAATAAAGTTGATCAATTGCTGCTGGTTTCCTGCGTTATTACAGTAGCCCTTCTGTTTTGTGGTTTTCAAAGGTGTTATTGGAAGTTGAGTGACATTGTACAAGGACTGGAGATGGGCACCATCGGCATAGTTCTTGTTGCGCCAATCCAGGAAGCAACCCAGCTGGTGCTTCACAGCTGAGCACTGTGGCGAGGAGGCGGGATGAGCAGTCCTGCCCGCTCTGCTGCTGAGTGGTCGACTGTGTGGGGAGGCAGGGAAGCCCCAGCCTGGCTACTTCTCCAATTGGTGCAACTCAAATGATGACAGCCCCGTGCACTGCGAGGTGAACACTAAGTGGACCGACGGGATCCTAGTAGGGTCCGATTTCCCCAGGCATCTGTGATGCTGATATTCGTATTCATATACCTTGGGATGCAAATATCCAATCTCTAAGCCAGGATGTTTACAGATCACAGATTATTTTTTGTCCAGAAGACTTGGCAGTGAAAGGGACAGAAAGGGCTTTCTGCATAAATGACATGGTGGTTTGTTTGTTTGTTTGCTTTTTGGCAACATGATGACCAGATCCAAAGACTTATTTGGACCCTTCTCATGGGAATAAAAACATCCCTCAGTGTGGATTGGAAGGATCGCTAAAGTGAGAGGTAAAATAGCTCGCACTATAAAGATAAGAACCTTTTAGAGTGTGAATCAGACTGCTACAACGTCTGCTGTCTGGACATACATATTCTCTGCTAGAGGCTGTGAGGTCAAGTGGTTTGATAAGCAGGGAATTGAAGTTATAGATGCTTCCACTTGACAACAATCTCTCTGCACTTGGACACCTACCTCTTTGGCCTGTTCTTCCCAGGGACAACCCAGGAGAAGCACATGGTGCACTATCGTATAGCCATCTCTAGTGGGTAATCTCGGGCCTTCCTGAGTGTTGGAATGGAGTTCAGTTCCCATCAGCCCCTGCCCAACCGGTCAGTGGTGAGGGATGATGGGAGATCCTTAATTAACATCTGGAGAGTTGCAAGTTCTCTGCACCTGCTATAGAGGGTGTCACTCCCTCTCGTGAAGAAGGTTTCACTTGCAGTTTTGCCAGAGCCAAAGACGAGCGTGTTTCCAAGCTGGTTCTATGCTCTGAAATTGCCACACTTCACATTTTCTGTTGACTGAGTTCTTTTGTTCTCTGCAGCTAAAAGTGATAAAGACAAAGTGCATCTGTGCC